GAGTTGACCTCTATTTCAGTTGGTTGCACCACAGCTTCCTCAGGCACCCAAGCTAGACACCTAGGAGTCATCTTGTCCCCATCAGGCCACCCATCAACTCAGGCATGGCCTTCTTCTCCAGTCTTGCTCCAGCTGCTCTGGATCACGCTCCCTCTGTGGATTTTCTAGCAGGCTCCCAAGTGGTTTCCTGCCTCAGGCTCATCTCCTTCAAGTCTACCCTCCCTCCCTGTCACATCTCTAGCTACTCTGAAATGAGCTGAATGCAAATCTTACCTGCACATTCTAATGCTAACATCCTTTAATAGCTACCCACACTAAGGCCAGACTCAAGCTCCTTAAAATGGTATTCAGTGTCCTCTAAGATCTGGTCTTCTTGGTTCTCTGTTCCATCACCCACCACTTCCTGGCTCCTGGAACTCTGTGATCATGTAGAGAACAACAGTCTGCTTTTCCATTCTCTCTGTCACTTTGCCCCTTCTGCACAGAATACCTTTCTCCTTTCTGTACTACATACATACTGTGGTCTTACCAATTAAAAAACAAACTAAACACACAAGCATGCTCACATATTGGCGTAAACGTCACTTGTTACCAAAACATCAGCTTTAATGACTACCCACTAATCAGTAATATGAACTTAACATAATTTAACCATTCCTCTAATATTGCACATTTAGATTATTTCTAATTTTTACTATAATATAAAACTTTTGATTACCATTCTTATATCAAATCTTTATTCTCATCTCTAGCCATTTCTTAGAAATATTTCAGTTAGTGGAATTATTGGATTAAAGGATAAGAAGTTGTATGAAATATTTAGTGCATTTATGTCAAATTGACATACACTTTCTGAAGAGCAATTTATCCTCCCACTCATGGGACATAAAAATACCTCACCATTCCTTGTAAGCATTGATTAGTATCTTCTTTAAAAATTGTGGCTAATTTGAGAATATTTGACTATTTGTGAAGCTCAGCATTTTCTTCTCATATGATTATTAGCTGTTTATATATCCCCCATTAATCTTCTGAATTTTTTGCTCATTTTCTTTTGTGATGTTCATATTTTTCTTAATTTATAAGTGTTCTACATTGTAAGAATTTTGCAGGTACTTTCATAAAGTGAATGATTAATACTTTTCCTCTTGTTTTGCCTTTCCTAGATTTTGGTGTCAGGGTTATGAGTAGATCTTAAGTGAACTGGGCAGTTTGCCGTCTTTTCTTATGATTCAGAAGTATACATACTACGAATCATACCTGTTTTATATGGGTTCGAAGGAATTCAGTTTTAAATTAACCTTTACCAATTTCTTTCAAGATTATCAGTTCACTCAGGTTTTCTTGATCTTTTATAATTTCCTAGATAACCATCCACTTCATTCAGACTTTAATATGTTAGCCTTTAGCACACAGAATTGATTTACTCATTTTAAAATCTTCTTTTTGTTTTTATTAGTATCTCTTAGTCTTATTTTGATTTATTTATATTTTCCATTTGTTGCTTTACCTGATTATTCCATTACTTAAAAAAAAAAAACCATGAAGCTCTTAGATTTATTCACTCAATTGTTTTATTATTTTCAAACTCTAAGTTTATTTTCTTTCTTTTGTGTTCCATATATATATTTTGTTGATTTTCTTAACTTTTTGAACTGAACTCTTCATAAAGGAAAATACTTAAAACTATAAAATTTCCCAAGTACAGATGTAACTTTTACTCCATACCTTTAATAGATGTTTTCTACTTTCAACATTTTGTAAATAGTTTAATTTTGCTATTTTTTTCTTTGATTAAATAATTATGCACTTTAAAAAAAGATTGGGGTTTCTTCATAATGCACATTACTATCTAATTTGAGTTCATTGGGGTATAGGAACTTCATTTACACTTGGAAAAATATAGTAATTGTTTTGTGATCTAGTATATAACCAATTTTAATTGCTCAAATTCTCACAATCTTAATAGTTCAGTTGAACAGATTTCAGCATATGCCTTTTGATTTGTGGGAGGCAGATTCTCAAGTAAAAGTACTTAATCTTTTCTCTGAAAGTCATCCTTTCTTCTCCAATTCCATTGATGCTGTTCTGATTCTACCTGTATCATCTCCAGTAGGGACAACCCAATAAACTCAGAACTGGTGCCACAGCCTCCAGTCTTTGCTATGCCACTCCTCCCTAATGCCGGAAAAATATCCATCTCCTGTTTAAAGGTTATAATGCTTCCCCACTGCGTATGGAATTTAGGTCAAACATTTTCTCAATGGCATTCATAGCTCATTTACCATTTCTCCCCACCTCTCTTTCCGGGCTCCTTCCTACGTTCTCCAGTCCACCTGTGTTCCCACTGCACCACGCTCTAGAGGCACGGAGCTACAAACTGTTTCCTGAATTCCACGACACTCTTACCTTTACTTACTGATGCAATCTTTTTAGTTGTCATTATTTCTCAATATACATGATTGCCTTTTCCATCCAAAATTTAGGCCAGTGTCTACAGTATGTCTCCAAATGTTTCTCAAACTTTACTCTCATATCAAGTCAGATCTCCAGAGAGCTCCATGCCTGGCCGACACTTTAAGGGGACTTGCAGCTGATCAAAATGCTCTCCCAGACTAGTATTTAGAATGTGAGCTCCAGAAGGAGACAGCCTCAGTATTCATTAAAAGACACTGTGAGAAATGGTCAAACTGTTTCTGAAGGCACTATTTAAAGTTCCTTTTACAAAACTTACACGGTTACTTTCCTTTGGAATATAGTATGTGGAAAATCTATAGTTATTGATAGCCTGGTGTGCTTTCAATCAAATAATTTAAGGTAGATAATCCATGATGTCTTTCTTATTTTGGTTCTCAAAAAGCTCAAGGTGCTATTTCCTCCAGGCCTAGCTTTTATAATGTATCAATTAGCTTTGTGACTTAAATTGTTCAAGTCTATTTCTTCATCAATAAAATGGAGGCAACTAACAGCTACTTTGCAGAGTGGTGTGTAGGAAACCAAGTATAGTGTCTGGCACATTCATTCAACAAATATGTACTGACTGACTTCTGAGAGACTAAATATACAAATGGACAATGGCTTGACCATACGTAAAAATAGAACTCTGACCCACAACCTGCCCAGAAGACTGACTCCATATCTACACTAAACAGCTCAGAAAGCCAGCCTGCTGTAAGTCAGATTTATAGGAAATCAGACTGCTATCTCTAGTAACAAGCCAAAAAGCTAAACAATAACTTCTATAATAACTGTCCCCAAATGGCTAGGACTTGATTACTGATTATGTGATTACTAATTTCTGTCCCTGCTTCCAACTTAGGACCAATCAGAGAAAGACAAATATGTACCCCCAACCAATCATGCAGGATGTACGCTTCTAGTAAGCCTGCCTCCAGCTTCCCCATGCCAACAGCATCCCATCAGAGCACTCCTGAAGCCTTCCCTTTTTTCGACTATTGAGCTTTCCCACTCCTCTGCCTGCCTTTGAGTCTCTGCCCAAACAAAAGTGATGGTGGCTGACTCCTCATTCTAGCAAGCTCAGAATACATAGCCTTTGCTCGTTCTTATCTGGGATGATTTCTACACCTTCATGTATGAGATACTGTGTTTAGTGCTAGAGGTATAATGGTCCCTGCCCTCTTGGAGTTCACTTTCTAAAAGAAAAGCCAGAAGATCAATAAGTCAGCAAACATAGAAATAAAGGCATGCGGAGGGTAATGAATGCCATGAAGGAAATCAAGAAAGTGATGTAGTGGCAGATAACTGGGTGCCAGAGGTGGCCTGCCCCAGTGCAGTCAGAGAAGGCTGCTCTGTGTCAGAGAAATCTGAGTTGACACATGAAGGATGAGAATGAGCTCGTCACATAAAGAGAGAACAGAGAGCATTCCAGGCATAAGGAACAGAGAACAGCCAGACCCTGAGGTGGGAAACCACTTGGTGAGTCTTAGGCCAGTGAGGTTGAGATTGCACGATGGGCAGAAAGGGGTATGAGATGAGGCAAATAAACAGTAGTTGTGGCTAGTCATAAATGCTTTGCTTTAACAATCCCTGGTTGCTTTAGTGATTTTACTGTACCTGAGCCTCATATTATAAGCAGGTTCAAATACCTTTCAAGTGGTCATCATACAAAGAAAAAAAGGAATAAAGTTATTAATCTCAAATAATTTTAATAGCTAACATTTATCAAGAGTTTACTATATGCTGTATATGATTTAAACATTTAATTCACTCCATTATCCTATATTATAAATACTATGATCACTTCCTTTTTATAGATGAGGAAGTGAAACACTGAGCGTTTAATAAACTTGCAAAGTTGACGTAGAGAATAAGTCGAAGAACAGGATTTGAATCAGGCAGCTGACTTCTAAAGAACAGGATTTGAATCAGGCAGCCGACTTCTAAAGCCAGCCCTCTTAGCGACCACATAATTCTGCCTCTTCAGGTTACGTAGCCATTGTGAATCAGTTATTTGCAGGTCCCCCTAAGTTTATAAGTTATTGTGCTTTCTAGTAGCAGGAAATATGTCTGAAATTCATAATCTATAATCTACTATCAGGGACTCACATATCTTCAAATTCTATTTATTATTAAGGAATAGTGTCTAATGGAACATGAAAAAAATTTCCCTTACAAGAAAAATAAATAACTGTAATGAACGTTTTTTAATAAACATCTTCGATTTGCAGAACTTATCTATTATTAAATCTTTATCCATAATTTATTACACAGATGTTTATGTGGGTCAGTGTACATCCAGCTCATGAACACTTATGGGCTTGCTCTCCTGGGGAAAGCAACAATATGTGCTAATGAAGGTTGATTTTATTATATACATAAATTTGGTCAGAGAAAGGAAGCAGGCAAAATAGTCTGAGGCTGGCTGGTAACCATCCTTTTTAATTACTCCTTTTCCAGGTGGAATTCTGTTTCGTGGAGAACCTCTGAGAGGCTGAAGCCCACCCAAATCAAAGCAGTCATACTGCCAGGCAGTGACTTACATTCCCATCGTGGTTTGGGCAAGAGAGAGGCTTTCCCGCGGCCACCGCGGTGACGGTCTCCAGGATGGAGGACTCCTCAACGTTGCTGCCTGGCGTCCGCTGCAGCACGTCCATCAGGTTCGTGATGAAGAAGTTGTTCTGGAGCGCAGCCACCCCCTTCTCGGGCAGGATGGAGGTCTGGCGGCACACTGGGCAGGAGAGGGTTAAGCTGTGAGCGGGAATGTAGTTCTGCAGGCACCTGTGGCAGGAGCAGAAGCAGGACTGTCAGCTCAGTGAGGCTCACGGAACAGATGGCTGCTTCTCGCAGGTACCACGCATGATCTCAGTGCTTACACTGGTTACTCTGCAGAAACTCCCTTCGCAGTCTCCTTTACTAGGAAAAGAATATTTCAGAAGCCAAGAGATAACCTGTACTCACACTGGCCCTGTCAAGAAAGAGAATATTGTCATCATTGACTTTGGTAGTGTTTTCTAGAGCCTTGTCACACACACACAAAAGTGTGGTCCATGGAAAAGCAGCACTGGCCTCGCCAGGGAGCTTGGAAGAAATGCAGACTCTTTGGTCTCGCTCCAGGCCTAACTTGCATATACCTTAAGGTTGAGAAGCGTCGCTCTAGAATATCTAGTCTGATGTTCACGAATTTGTGGGCTTTTACAGTTGGGAGAAGCATGTTACTTCATTACTATTGAAACACTTTTTGTATACCAAATCATAGTAAGCAAATTGTGGCTGTTAAGAACACATCAAAGTGGAATTGTTTTGTAAACAGGAATGGGCACCCAGAGTCACACCGACATGATCTCTTCTTGCCTCTCCTCAATAGGCATCAACTTAATTCATTTAATTAATGAAATGTATCACTAACGACCAACATATATACTGCCTACCAAATCCAAAGTTCTTCCAACAACTCTATGAAGTAGGAACTATTGTCATCACTTTTAGACATATGATGAAATGCAGGCAAAGGGAGGCTATGTTACTTGCCCAAGGGACTTAGGTGGTCAAGGGCTGAGCAGGAATTCAAACCAAGGCAATTTGGTACCAGGATCAAACTCTAAATAACTACACCATACACTGTTTTCCAGTTTCTAGAAAACCAATAATTTCACCACAAAGCCCTTATTTTGTGGATGAAGAAACTAACATCAAGAAGGTTAACTGACCTTCCATATGTCACAGAGGTAACTAGGGGTGGATCAAAACCAGAAAAGAAATAGCTTTTGCAAAGGTCATTAATGACATCTTAATGCAATAAACATTTTTCAATCCTGTCTTACCGGACATCTCAGCAGCACTCATCCAACTTGACCACTACACCCCGCTCTCCCCGCAATTTCTTTTTTGAAACTTTATCATTCCTTAGCTTATGAAACCACACTCACCTAGTTCTCCTTCTGCCTGCTCTATCTTTCCTGAGTCAGTACAGTTTGGAGTTAATCCAGGCTCCACTGTAAGCGCTCTTCTCTCCCTGAGATATATATTCGCGTGCCTGGCTAATGCATAACACTTCCATGTTTCTATTTCTTCCCACAAATACCTCCTCTGAGCCACATATCTGTATACCAGCTGTCTTCTTGATATTTCCTCTTAGATGTCTCACAGGTTCTAAAACCCAACATTTCCCTAACTAAATTCACAATTGTCCCCTAAACTGCATCCTCTTCTTATCTCAATGAATAGCACTTCCATCTCGTGTAGGCAGGTTGGACTAGACCTAAAAGAGAGGGCAGCGGGCAGACCCAGGGTAGCCCAGAAGTGTCGCTTCTCACCTGGGCACTGAACACTGGGGAATGGAGCAGCTCTGTCAAGCTCGGACTGAGTAGCTCTCAGTGCTGTATATAAAGAGCACCAGGCTATGTCGACTGCTGCAAATCAAATAATGATCTTACCATGCAAGCTCAGGGACACATGGACAATTAGCTGGGATTCATGTTTTAGCTACACCTATTGAATGAGAGGGGGAAAAAATCACTCTCCATTTATCCATTTTGGAATGTGAATTACAAAATACTTAAGCCAAAGTATAAAACGAATAAAGTAAAAAGTATTGATGCTTTATATACCACCACTAAGACAAACAAAAACGCTGTATCCACACACACACACACACACACACACACACACACACACACACACACACACAAAACAATGCGCAATAAAGCAAAACAAACAAACAAAAGACCACAACTACCAGTAACAAATCTACCTTCTCCCTCCATTCATTACCATTAAAGATGTGGTTTTTCTGTTGCAACTGAGACCCTCCAAAGTAAATTAACTCAAAGCACGCTCCATCAGACAACAAATGTGTTAAATTGGATGGTAAATGTAATTAGTATTGATTCGAAGCCATTCGAAATACTAATTTCCTGTTCCGTAATAAGAAGCAATGCACTTTAATTATGTGTATTAAATAATAATAGAAAATACATATAACATAATGCTATAAAACATAATGACCATGTTTGTTTTTAAGAAAAATGTATAACCTTACTAGAAAAATACTTTAATTAGGCCACAGATAAACTAATTACTAACCATCTTTCTGTACCTAACGGCTTATGTGATAAGTTGAACAAGGAGGTAAAGGTGTATTTTGATAAATGATTAACTCAAAGGAAAAAACTATTCAAGAAAGATAAATAAGAAAATGTATTTTTCACATTTAGCAAACTGCATATTCTGGCAATTTATAATTATTTCTTACATATATAGTTTTTTCTTCATCTGAAACATCATAATGTTCAAATATGCCATTAGTATGTGTCTTCTGAAGTATCTTTGAAAGGAAGATCTTTCTTTTTATCTAACCCTCATCTATGTAGGCATTTTACATGATTTTTTATATGGGAAGAAATGACAGATTTTTAATTAGCCTTCACCAAAGACCCTCTATGAGGAAACTGTGGTTGGCAAAAATTATTTCACAAAGAACAAAGGAAAATAAAAAAAAAATTTTAAACCTTAAAATATTTAGTGCTCTGTCTCCGATGGAAATGAATGAGGAGCTACTTAATTGCTTTTCCCATCTGTAATTACTTGAAATAAAGCAAATTATTGGCAACTCGTGATTCTGTTTCTCAACATCTATCAGAAGCACAAAAAATTCATTGTCTCCTATAGGTTAACTGAAGATTCTGGAAAGAACCCTTTGTGGGAAGTCAGTTTGTGAAACGCCCTTCTCAGCGCACAAAGGGGGCTTACCTCTCGCAGAAAGTGTGAAGACAGGGGAGAACTTTGGGGTTCTTGTACCGTTCCAGGCATATACTGCAGATCAGAAACTGCTTGTCAATCTGGCGCACCACAGGACTTGGGATGTTGGTGGCTTCACTGGCCATCCTAGACCACTGACATGGGGGGCCGGCTGTCTTTGACCCTGCACGCTGCTGCTGTCAGACGGAAAAGCCAAAATGGAAAAATATTTAATAATCTATAAGTGTACATCAATCACTGGCTCATTCACTATAGGCATCATTTTATGACTACGGATAAAATGTCATGTTAGTAACTTCGAAATGACCATAACCAGCCCTCATTGCTATAGAGGGAGTACAGTGAGCTTCCTGTTTGTTTGAAAATCAACAGAATAATCACAGGTTCACCATGCAAACAAAAGAAATTAGAAGGTATGTTGTACAATGAGGTATGCTTGCTGGGTTTCAGAGCAGTGGTAGTTGAGTTATATTAAATACTTATATAACTAACTATGCCTGTTCATGTCTTCAGCCATGACTATATTTGAATATATATCTATAGCCTTATTAAAATTTCATCCTTTTACAGTCTATATTAAATAGAATAGTCTTATTAAAATGGACTGTTTTCCCAACTATTGTATTTCATGGAGATCAAAATATACCAACTCCAAATACAGTACTTTGATATAAGGATTATTTTGAGCCAAAAGCTACTGAGAAATAGGAGACACAGGAGAGGAGCTCTCTGCTCTCTCCTATCTGCCTAAAAGCAGGGTATAAATTCCTATCTGTAAAGATGCCTCATTGTCCCATACCAGGAGAAGGAGAAGATTGTTAATCACTGGTAATGGCACCAAGAAGAGTCTGCATAACAAAGCTTACTAAACAACCCTTACCTTCCATGCATGTACTGGTCACTTTCCTACAATTTACTGACCCTAGGAGTCCAAACTCCCCTATTCTTTGTCTAATCACTTCTCTACAATTTGTCACCCTTTGTTAAAATATTGTATAAAAGTTTCCAAGTCTAACCATGTCTTTGGATTTTCATTTCTTTTCTGTGAAGTCTTATGCAAATAAAAATATTAAACCAATAAAATTCAATAAAATATAGTATATATTTTTTGAAAAAAAAATCAATAAAATTACATATCTTTTTCTCCTGATAATATGCCTTTTGTCCGTTTAATCCACAGGCCTCAGACACAGAACATAAGAGTATAGAGAAAAGTTTTTTTTCTCCCCTACATACTGTTAATATGCAGCATAGAAATAATTAAAATTTTTAATTAAAAACTTTGTATGTGGTTCAGAGTGTTTTCTTCAGAACTAAAGGTTTATAAATTTTACACTAAAATGTATTTGCCATAGATCAGGGACAAAGGCCCTATTATTAGTCCCTATTATTCTAAGAAATGTCTATTGGTGTTCACGTGTAGCCATTGAGGCACCTGGTGAAGGGAATTCATTCAGAGGAGGTTTCCATTACTGCGGGATAATGCCAGAAATGGAGAATTAGAAGAAGGAAAAGGAAAAGAAAGCGGAGGGTCCACGAGAGAATAAGGGAAGAAAAAGTTCCGACATAAGACACAGCTCCTTCACCCCCTCGAAGATCTTCTGGCTTCTATCCCAAACCAAGGCTGAGCTAAAATTCACTTCCTAATTTTCTAAATATTTGGTAAGGTGTCCACAGTCCTCCAATTTCCAATAGAAATTCTCTTTGCAAAATCTTCTACAAGATTTTTTTTAAAAAAGCTCGGTTAAGAAATACACCGGAATGCAAACTCAAGTGTGTCTCTAAAACCCATGGCCTTTTTACTCCTTAAATCACCACACCTCCCTTGACCTTCTGTTTTCAGAAGGCTGTACTATGGAAGCTTGGTTTATATATAACAATTCAACATGGCCTGGAACCTGTGCTTTAAGCTGGGAAGTATACTATATTTATAGAATTAACAATTCTATACTTTCTAAAGGTAACAGGCTTTCCCAAATATAAATGATAGTTTTTCTTTCTCCCCACCAAATCACGAACTTTTTAAGAAGTATGTCAATTTTCGTTAAGAAAATTCTGCTATTTACACATATGACACACTCATTTTCCGACACTATACCTTTAAGATAAGTTCATTAAAGAGCATGAGAAACAGAACTTTGTGAAAGCACCTGACATACAAGAGTGTCTCCTTCAAATAGAATTCACTGCATTAGTTAAACAGTGTAGGTAGACACCTAATTAGCCAGTATTATCTGCTAGACTTTCATAGAATGTCTCCCTAAAGAACTAGAGTAGAGAATGATATTCATTGAATTAAATGGAGCTCATCTCTCAAGAGCTCAAAATGTCGGCACTTCTGTCTGCTTTTCTTTAACCACATCCCTATGACATCAGCATAAGAAAGGAATGGATTTGCCTGTCTTTAAGATAAGGAAACCAAAGCTAAGGGTTTAAATGACTTGCTCAAGGTCATTCAGTAAAATCAGGGCATCGGAAAGCTCAGATTGCAAGTTTTCTGCCTTATCTGAAAAGTCAATGATATCTAATCTTAAATAAGTTTAAGGCTTTACTGGTGTGTGTGTGGGCAAGAGAGAGGGTGGGGAGAGAGGGAGAGACACAGAGAGAGAGAGAGGGTGGGGAGAGAGGGAGAGAGGGAGAGGGAGAGGGAGAGGGAGAGGGAGAGAGAGAGAGAGAGAGAGAGAGAGAGACTTATAAAAATTACTGGGTGCTCACTTCTGCACCACTAAAATTGGAATGATACAGAAGATTAGCAAGGCCCTGGAGCAAGGATGACATGCAAATTCATGACATGTTCCTTATTTTAAAAATTACAATAAACTTTTCAGCAAAAAGCAGTTAAAAATAATTTTATTTTGAATAGCTTTTGAAATTTTTCATGTTACCCTTTGAAATAATCAGTCATGCTGAACATTAAAAAATGCAGAGAGAAAAGATCATATTGGATTTTACTCTTTTTTTTTTTAACTTTAGAATTTTGGATTTAGGGCAAGGAAAAAAATATTTGTTTTAATTAAATTATATATGTTGACTAAATGAAATTTCCTGAGCTGACATTTTTATTCTCCAAAACTGAAATAAAAACATTTCATTCTAATTTTATGATCGTCATTAGAGTGGATGAGAATCTTTGCTACCATTGGTAATTTATATGGTAAATTAAGTTTACTCATTAACATCGATTTAAAATCATGACAATATTACAGATCTGTCATGAGTAACCTGTTGAAGACATCTGGATTTTCAGGACTCCTAGAATCAGCACAAAAGGTTTCTAGCTCCCAAAGATCCCCAAGTGGAGGCTTTGCCAGGACTTGATCATTGCCTGAATATAACTGGATACCCACAACAGGAAGACAATTTGACTGCTCCTAAAGGGATAATATGCTTAGAAAAATGCAGGCCCAGAACATGCTAATAAGCACCATGGGAAGCCTTCCATCAGTCTGACTATGCTTCGAGGAATAGACACAAAATATAGGACAGCCTTTAATCAAAGTGTTTGGGCATGAGCACAATTTCTGGTCTTCTCAATTACGAAAGCAATAAATACTCATCTAGATTCTTGGCTGGTCTTCTTTCACTATCTTGGTTTCTGAAGTGTCAAAGATCCTTCTTAACGCATACAACCAGCAGAAACAAATGCATGAAAATGAAGGAGATCAGGATATAGAATTATTCTATCGGAGATCAACACAATTAATTTCTGGAGAGATGGATGTCAAAACACGCATGGGGTGGACTTTGTCTCTGAAAGAGCCCAAATGTTTTTGGATGCAGGAACTAGCCCCAGACACACTAATAAGAGGCCAATAGAAAGGAAAAGGTAGAGGAGTGAAAGCAGGTAGAGCCATTTCAAAACTGCATGAATAGCCAACGTGAGTGTGATATTGACCTTAACCAGCTATGAGAGCTTTTACGTGGGGAGGATGGAAAACCAACAGCACTGCTTACAGAAGGGTTCACTCCCCATCTCCAGCTTTGCTCAATATCACCTTAATCTGACCATTCTGTTTGTGTCAATATCACCTTAATCTGACCAATCTGAAAATTGAAACTTGCCCCCAATCCCTTAACATGTGCTACCCGCTTCTTGGCTATATTTTTCTCCATAGCACTGGTCACTTTCTAACATAGCATGTAATGTATTTATTTTGCATATTGTCTCCTCCCCCACCCCACTAAGATGTAGGGATTTTTGTCTGATTGCTCACTGCAGTAGTCCCAGCTCCTAGACAGTATACATTATTATTATTTTTACTGAACTGAATGAATGAAGCATACCATGGGAATGGACTCAGTCCCAGCATCAGAAAAGAGGAGCACTTGCTGAATTACGTGATAAAGAGCATGGGCATTATCAGTCATGCAAATGTTTTCACTTGCATCTGACAGTCCCTAACCCCTCATGTGATTGTCTAATGCTTAGCAACATAAGCCATCATCCATAAGATAAATAGTGACATATGTTAACATACTCACAAATGCAGGAAAAGAAATTGAGAACTATTGAGGACACATGTGCATGGAAATTAAAAGTCTAAGAAAGTTGACACATAAATTCCTTATTAGCGGGAGCTTACCAGCTAAACACAGCTTGTTGTGTGTAAAAACAACGCGACAATCACATAACAAAATTGTTGGGCACAGAAAAACCCCGTCCCAGCATTTCTTTCCTCTCATCATCTGTGGTATTTTTCCTGGCTCACTTTCTGAAATCTCTACAACTCAGTGGAAATTATGACCCATTGGAAAAGGAGAACTTGATAGGAGATGAAAGAAAAAAAAAAAATGCCTGCGTCCACAATTCTAAGGTTAAGACCACATTTCCCACCCCAAATTATACCATGTAGTTCAGAAAACTCTCCAAACTCTTTATCGCTGACACTCGCTGACACCAGAGTGAGGAAGAGCGAGAAGAAGAAGAGAAAAGCCAAATTGACAAGCAGAAGGGGAAAGAGCAGGTGAAAACTTGTCTGGCTGCTCTAGGAAACCAGGCTGAGAAACGGGTCAAGATTCCTTTGAAAAATAAATTTTTCTTTTATTATTTATTATTTTGGGAGGAAATAAAAATTTAACATGTGATTTGTGGGTAAGAGGCAGCGAGCATATTTGATTCTATAGTATCGTAAAGGCACAAGATTCCTTTTTCATTGTTAACTTTTATAAAAAAATC